TCGTGTCCCACTCTTTGCTACCCTGTGGACTACAGCCCACCAATCGATGGAATTCTCCAGGCAAGAGTACTGCAATGGATTGCCATTCCCTTCTCCAGGGGATCATGAATTAATGTCGATCTTTTGCGTAATAAAGTATCATGTAGCACACCTGTGAAATGAAGGAGGCAATAGCACCCCAGTGCAATGAAAATAGTTTTGATTTCATGGACCTTGTGAAAGGGCCTTGGATATACTGATAAGCAGGCTTTCCAAAAAGGAAAAAAAAAAAAAAAGCCCAGAACCCAAGGTTTGTACAAAATGTCAGTTTCCACGGTGTAAGTTCCCATCACAGACAATTGCAAGTTACCGGCTTGACTCCACTAGTGTTGGAGTTGGGGAGAGACATGCAGTCCATGTAGGCAGCTTACGTCCCATTTTGAGAACCTCTGGTACAGAGTGTCTATGGAAAAACCCAGGAAAACCAATGAGATGCCTCCAAGAGACTAATAACCCAATGACTGGAGGACAGGGGGCTTTTTAAACCAATGTCCTTTTATACCTTTTGAATTTTTGGATGCTTGTGTATCTAGTCAAAAGAAGACTTTTAGGTATCTTCCCTTCATAAAGTGAACTTCAGTTATCTACAATTGGTAAGTCTTTTCTGCTTTTCCACTTTTTTGTGGGGTTGCGTAGAACTGGCTCTTTGGAAATACCAGTGACTGGTTCTCACTGTTCTGCCCGCCCCTTATCTTGCTCCGCCCTCACTTCCAGCTCCCAGCCAGGATAGGTAGGAGGCAGACTCAGCCATTTTTCCAGCATGAGGCCCAGAGGTAGGCCTCCCAGGGCTACTGCATTTATGTAGCCAATTTAAGCAACTTATCCTTTGTAATTTGGTATTTGAGTGTCTCAAGCATCCTGTTGTTTGTTAAACATTTGGGACTACACTGTCCTCTCACCCTGTGAAGAAAGATAGAGACTATTGGATATTCTAACAAAATTGTGTGTACTCTATATATACTGCTATGAGTTGTGCAGTATTGAAAACCTTTCTTTACCAATGATGGTCACCTCACCTGAGGCTTCCTAGGCTATTTGGTTAAACAAAAAACTAGCATTTTCACTAATTGGATTAACCACTGGAGATTGGGCTTCCCTGGGGGCTCAGACCGTAAAGCGTCTGCCTGCAATGCGGGAGACCCCGGTTCGATCCCTGGGTCAGGAGGATCCCCTGGAGAAAGAAATGGCAACCCACTCCCATCCTCTTGCCTGGAAAATTCCAAGGATGGAGGAGCCTGATGGGCTACAGTCCATGGGGTCACAAAGAGTCGGACATGACTGAGCGACTTCACTTCACTGGAGATTAGTCCTGTTTGAGAGTTACCCTCCTAGAGGTCATCCATGTCTTAGGGCCTGTGCGCTTTAACTAGAGGCAGCAGCAAGCCCCACTGGTCTCCACGACACACGCCCCTCTCGCTCGATTGAATGTTCCCCTGGGCTTGGTCAGGAACATGGAACAGGCACCCCTAGGGGAGAAGCTGATTTTCAGGGACACGGGGATGCATGGTTAGACTGTCTCACATTTTGAGATTTGTGGTAAAGGGATAAGAGGATTTTGAGAAGGACAGAATGGTAAAACAAATGCTCCAAAGACCTGCAGGCAAAGGAGATTGTAATCCTAGCAGCCCTGTGGGGGATGCTGCAGTAGTTGGCAGCTCTTACAGAACCTATAGTTGTGTAAGCGAAAGGAATTTCTGCGGCATGCTTGGCATGCGGGTGTTTAGTGTCCGCCCAGGATGCACAGCCTTGTGACCTTCATCTGGCAGGTGACCAGGAAGTGGAGGGATGGGATGGTGTTGATGCGCTTTCTGTATGTCAGCTCAGGATGCCCGGAAGCGACCCACACATCCCATCCTTCTTGTAGATACTTCCGATTTGTGGAGTCTGTATAAGCACAGAGCACCCTCGTCTTCCTGGTAGTGACATGGAGGTGAAAGGAGATTTCCAGCTGCTAGTGGTCAGAGAGATCCAAGGCTGGAAACTGCTCTCATGTTCATCAGAAGAACCTTAACAGAAGAATGCAAATTCTATTATTCCCTCTCGCGGTGGCTGATCGGAGATATACACAGATTTGGTTTGAATCCTAATTCTACCACCTAATAGCTGCGTGACACTGATCAAGTACCTGTTTCCCCTTCCAGTAGTCAAATTCTTTATTTCTGTAATCAGAATGACATAAAAATAATTTTTCAGCTTCATTGAAGTATGACTGACAGATAAAAATGGTAAATATTGAAGGTGTATGCCCTCGGTATTTTTTATTGGTAAAATTGGGATTGAAATCGCTCAGGGTGAGATGGAGGCCACATGAAGTGGCTGGGCAGCACCAGGCCCCAAGTTTGCAGGCCAGGGATGTGAGTGGGGACCCTTACCTCACTCCCCACCACACGAGCCAGAGGCACTTAGTTCTCCAGGCCTTGCAGATGGGACATTGCCCAGCTTCTCAATGAGCATGGCTTCTTCACTGTCTGGGAGAGAAGGGGCCCACCACACTGCATCCTGGGTGACTTCTGTGCTGGTCTAGCATCTGTCGCTGGTCTATAAATGAACACGGAAATGTTTTCCAAAGCAGATGCACTCTGAGCGCCCTGAGTGCCCAGGAAGCCGCCACCCCTGCCTCCCACCTCACCCGTGAGGCTGCGCAGCCCCCTCCAGCTCTCCTCCCGCCCGCGGGTGGCTCAGGTGTGTACCCTCCTTCATCACCTTCTGCCTCGGGAACCAAGGGGAGCTCGGGAGTCAGGTGCTGAGTTGGTGGTGCCCCACGGTGGTGCTCACCGAGTCGCGCACTCATGGGGACCCCCACGCACGCCGCTCCTCTGAAGTGGAGTGTCAGATATCCAGACCATCTCTGCTCGGTGCCTGTGATTCTCTGCCAGGTTTTCTCATCAACTCCTGTTTTCTTTTCCTCTAGGAGTCACTTGTCCTTTTCATGCTTTTTGCTTAGCCGGAGAGGCTTTGAGAATTCTCACCACGCAGCACCCCCAGATAAACTTGTGCCACCTCCCCGTCCTCCCTCTCCTCTCCGGAATGTGACTGGTTTTGTACATGGTGTCCTGTCCGGCAGAGCTCTTTCTCCCTTGAGGAGACCGGTTCTGGGGCGGGGCGGTAGGGTCTCCAGGGGCAGGTGGCGGCCCAGTCTTGGTCAAGGCTGGGGCAGGGCAGCTCATTCTAGCCTCCTTGAGAAGCCCCTTACCAGTCAGGCCTGAGTTTCTGCCCAGCGTGGGCCAGCCGTGCTGTCTGAAAAGAGTACTGATGCCCTGCTACCTACTTGGAACTCTCCCCTCAGAGACACCCAGACTTGAGGTTTACTTCCCTGGAATACAGTGGAGATTGTCTTTGATAAAAATTCACCTCTGGTAAAATAGTTCTTGACCCTTTGAAGTTGACTGACTTACTGTCTATATTCACTCAATCCCCCCTGCATGTTTTTTTCAGATAGTAGATAGTTTAGTAAGTAGTAATAATTTCAGTTTCATATAAATCTCAACATTTCTTATTCCTTTGAAAATTAGTAACACAGAGATGAAAAAAGTTGTTCCTGTCATGAACTAATTGTGATGACTGAGAATAGTGCCATGCATTGTACATTGCTATTATTAGTGACCTTTGAAGTTGTTAGCCTGTGCACAGGTCATCCTCTGGTTGTCCCTCCATTGACCTGTCTAAACCGGAACCGTACACCATTCCACAGCTGCTTGGTGAATGGTTTACTGAACTTTGTAGGTGGCATCCCTTTTCCTTATACAAATTTCATGAAGTTACGCCTGCTGCCCTCTGACCCGTAACTGGAGTGGGCACCCAGTACTTGCAGGCAGCTTCACCAGTGGTAAGAACCACAGCTCCTCAATGTCATCAGTAAAGGCTGTCATGTATATTCTTTTCAACGTTACTACCTCATTTATACTTTATCCTATTTGTGGACATGCTGTTATGTCATTTGGGGAATCTCAAAGGCGTAATGGTGCTTTTACCATGATGGTCCATTCCATTTTGGCTCGGGCAGGGAAACCAGCCCCTGATTTTCCATCAGACCCTGCACCCCATATGGAGGAGGTACCGCCAACCCCTCCAGTGTCATCCCCTCGTCAGTAAATAGAGTGCTTTGGACCAGATTGTATGGAGCTGAGGAGCTTTAAGAACTTCTCCTCTTGCTTCTGAAGAAAGGGCTAGACCAGCATCATCCAATAACAGTAGTTGAAAGCCACATGTGCAATTTTAAATTTTCTAGTGGCGCTCACATAGTGCTATAATGTATGGCACTATTCTCGGTGCCATTTTTTAAAAGGTGAAATTAATTTTAATACTTAGCCCAATAAATCTGAAATATTATCATTTTAACATGTAATCAGTATAAAAATTATTAACGAGATATTTTACATTCTTTTTGCCCCGCTGAGTCTTTGAAATCCAGCATGTATCTTACATCACATCTACATTTGGACTGGCCACTTTTCGAGTCCTCTGGAGCCACGCATGACTAGTGGCCGCCCTCATGGACGGTGTAGGTCTTTTTGGACCACCTGGAATCTTAGGACCTCAGCTCAGGTTCACACGCTCCACAGCCTGCTGTGGACCTTTGTCAGCCTTTTCACATTAACGGTTAGATGTTTAAGGCAGGGACTAACAGATCATCCAAACTGAGGTCTTTTGTAAGTCTTGAGTTTCTCAGATCCTTTCATTCCATAAGTGACTCTCAGCTGATGCTTTAAGCTGCATTCTGCCCACATAAAGTCTTGGGGAAGAACTCCCAGCAGGAGCAGAGGAGGCTGGGCTGCTTCTGGGCATTTGCAAACAAGAGGATGCAGTTTTCCTTTATGTTGCAGAGTCATATCAACTTAACCTTCTATTACCCAGAACCAGGGTTGGGAGGGTAAGGGGATTTCTTATGGGTGGGTGAAATTTTAAAAAATAAACAATAAGTCAAGACTTTGTCTTTGTCTTTTCTTTTAGTGGAACAGAAGATGAACGCAACTGAATTCAGTGAAGATGTAGAAGAAGGTAAAAAAAAAAAAAGCATCTTTTTAAAAAGTAGTTTAACTTAATACTTTTTTCATGATATATTCACATGGTTCAAAACTACTGGATTGGCCACAAAGTTCCTTTGGTTTTTAAAGTAACACTAAAAGACACATTTTGCATTTTCACCAGGAACGTTAGTGAACAATATAGTCACTGTTGTTTCACTACATTTTGCCATTTTTCAGGCAACTTCATAATTCCATCATCCTAAAACTTTTTATCTTTTTGAGCAAAGAACTATTCCAGGTGCCTTTTACAGTCTTCTAGGGAATTGAAGTTTTTTCCATTAAGAGAATTCTATAAAGACCAAAATAAATGGACATTTGAAGGTGCCTTGTCTGGTGAATACAGAGGATGAATCAGAACTTCCCAGACAAGCTGTAACAGTTTTTGCCTGGTCATCAAAAGAAACATGAGGTCTTGCGTTATCCTGATGGAAAATCATGCATTTTCAATTGACTAGTTCCAGACACTTTTTGTCAAATACTGCTTTCAGTTGGTTTAATTGGGAGCAGTACTTGTTGGAATTGATTGGTTTTCCAGAAGGAGCTTGTAGTAGAGGACACCCTTCTAATCCCACCATATACACATCACCTTCTTCGGATGAAGACTTTTTTGGTGTGGTTGGTGGTGGTTAATTTTGTTTGCCCCATGATCTCTTCCATTCCACATTGTTATACAATATCCACATTTCATCACCCATCACAATTTGTTTTAAAAATGGACCATTTTTGTTACTTTTAAGTAGAGAATTGCATCTGGAAATGCTCTCAGGGTTTTTTTCACTTAACTTATATGGAACCCAAACATCAAAGCAATTTAACATAACCAAGCTGGAGAAAATGATTTTCAGTGCTTGATTGGGATATTGGGAATATGTTGGCTATCTCCTGAGTGGTACAATGTTGATTGTGCTTAATTAATGTCTTGATTTGATCACTACCAACTGCAACTGGTCTGTGTGACCGTGGAGCATTGTCCAGTGAGAAATCTCTAGAATGAAGCTTCACAGTCCACTTTTGATGCATTTGATCAGTCACAGCACCTTCTCCATACACTACTCAAATCTTTTTTGTTGTGTTTCAGTTGCGTTTTTACCTCTCTTGAAGTAATAAAACATAATATACTGAAAATGTTGCTTTTTCTTCTTCCATCTTCAATATTAAAATGGCTACACAAAAATTCACCATTTTTTTTTAATGCACACTGATATGATAGCTCTCACAGTACAGTCTAACAATATTGTTTCAGGTGAAATTAAAGACAGTTAAGAGCTACTAGAGCTATCTTATGGGAAAACCTTAATGAACCTTTTGGCCAACCCAGTATTAAAAGATACACAATGAAAAATTAAGGAAAAGTCTCCTCTCATTACTGATTGCCATCCTTCTCCACTCACACTTACGGTATCTTATGCATCTTTCCAGGGTTACTTTTTTAAAAGCACCATTAAAAAGAGTAGTGTGTTTTTCTCCTTCCATCTCTCCTCCCTTCTCCAAGAAAAGACTTTAAAAGCTGCTTTAAACTGAATGTTCTTGGAATATAATATCAGTGTATAGCATGACGAGTGTGGTGAAATATAAATTGGTTGGTTGGAAAGCCAGTTTCATTGATTATTACCCTTGACACTGTTACTTGAGTGAGAATATCAGAAGGTGGCTGCGTACAGCCTGGTGCCTGGGGACCCTGCTGAACTGTGGTCTCCCCACTGAGCCCCTTTTCCTCTCTGCCACAGTTCTAAAAAATAACACTGTGAAAGTGGAGACGGAGGCCGAAGATGCTGCCCTGGACTGCTCCGTGAATTCCAGGTCGTCCGAGAAGCACCCTTTGGATGGCGTCTTCACTGCCCTCCAGGACTCCAGCAAGAGAAAGCCCCTGGGTGGCGAGGCCCCGCTGGACTCCGTCCCGAGCGTGAAGAGGCGGCGGCTTATTCCTGAGGTGAGCGCTTCCTGGGAAAGCAGGAACTTGTTGACAGCAAGGACTGTTAATGAAAGCCTACTACATTTCACATAGCCTGCGCCTTGCTGGAGCAAGTGAGGCTCAGCAGGGTTTTTCCTAAATCAGGTCCATCTTTGGTATTTATTCGGGGAGCTTGTTCAGTGAATCTTTTTGTAAAGAGGACAATTATTTTATAATATGCCTGTTATCCCTAACCTACCTATTTTATAAATTTGCTTTATTTCTTAATCACCTTCTGGTTATATTGAACTTGGCTGAATTCTGAGAGAGAGAAAATGAAACTGGTCACAGTGGTTCCCTCGAGCAGCCTGCAGTCCCCACGGGAGACAAGACAGATTCACAAAACAGTGAAGACTGAGGAGAGAGGGAAGTTTGGGAGATGAGAATGCCTGGTCAGCAGAGCCTCCCTGCAGATAGCCAGATCACACCTTAAACTCTTAGCAGAACATTTCCCCAAACTCTCCAGCCCCCTCTTCTCCCCCGCAACACACACACTTTTGGGGGGACCCAGGTAGGCATTTCAGCTTCTTCATGTCTATCCAACAGAGCCCAAGTTTCAGAGCTCACTGTCATTAGCCCATACATGGGGTGTCAGCCTGGGACTCCCTGGGTTGCTCTTGGTTTAATTCTCCTCTGTTAGATGCTACAGCAGATTGGGAGTTGATAGGTTTTAGAGATTTAGTGAGCTTTTGAAAAGTAAAAACTATCCTTTTTCTTAATTAGCAAAGTCAGAAGATGTAAGATTTTCACTGGATTTCAGTATGCATGTTTGTATTCCCTTATAACGAGGACTGACCTGCATTCCACATCATGGAACGTTGAGGGCTACATTCATTTATTTATCTCATTTTTGGCTATGCTGTGCAGGTTTTTCTCTAGCTGCAGCAAGCAGAGGCTACTCTACAGTTGTGTGTGGACTTCTCAGGTTGAGGATTAGAGGCTCCATACCTGTGACACATGGGCTTCATTGCTCCTTGGCATCTTTCCAGACCAGGGATTGAACCTGTGTCTCCTGCATTGGCAGGCGGATTCTTTACCACTGAGTCACCAGGGAAGCCCCACATACCTTTTCTTGTTTCATTTAGTCCATATAACAGTGACGAGAGAATTCGTTATCTCCTCCATGTAAGTTGAAGTCAAGTGCCAGAACGCCAGTGGGGCAGCCTTGTTCCTGGTGTGAGGTGTCAGGAGTGACTTAGAACACTCAGCACCCTGCTCCATATCAAGGAGGTGAGTGAGCCCCACCTTCTCTGATCCAGCCCATAGGAATGGTCATTTCCAGAATGATCGGAGCCTGGAGTCAGATAAGGGGGAGTTCACCATGGAGCCTTTGGCCGGCACTATGACCTCCCAAACTCAGGTCCGCCTATAGTGATGGGAGTGACACAGCTCCCTCATTGATTCCTTGTGTGGAGCATCGAGACAAGCCCAGCAGAGAGCCTGCCCCACGTCAGCTTTCAGAAGTGTTTATTTATTGCTCCCTAACCCCCATCTCCAACTACCACCCATTATAGTCAGTATTCAGCTGCCTCCCTCCACATTTATCAGGAGGAAAATGACATGGAATTGCCAAGAGAGGCCTTCTGATGCCTTCCCAGACACCCCAGGCCTCAACGCCCTTGATTCTGAGCACCTTCCATCTTCTCACTCGACCCCAAGGAAGGGGATGAAGGCAAGGGGGAGGAATTGATTGGCAGCCCTGATGCTAAAGGTCCATCACTTCAAACCCCTATCAGTGCTGAAGGCCTGTTCATGAGTGACGTTTAGTACAATGCTTAGAAGAAAAATAAAACCTCCCTCCAAAATTTAACAAAAGGCTGTATAAAGACATATTTGGCGCTTCCGCTGGGAAAGGCACCATAGCCAAATACAGCAGATGTGGGAGGTGAGTAGCCAGCATTTTTATTGCTAATCATCTTTTTGTTCACAGAAGTGGAAGTGATATTCAAGAGCCCTGTGCCAGGTAGAAGTTAGCTTTGTTTGCCTGGATTTCCTTATATCTTTGTTTTTAATCCTAAAGTGTGTTTGTGGTTTGTTTTTCAACTGGAGAGTGAAAATGCCATCTCATTCAATCAGTGCAGATGTACTAAAGACCTCCTAAGTGTCATTCACTGTGGTCCCAGCTGGAGGTTCGTCGTCATTTCCACAGCAGCCCTAGTGGATAGGCACCGTGGCCCTTCCCAGTTGAGTGAGCCTCAGAGAAGCTAGCACTCCCACGCCTGCTTGATTTGGAACTGCACTTAAACAGTGATGACCTGAGGATTGTGGGGTGTTTGTAAGATGCTGTGAGGAGCTCCTGCTCTGATATTTGGCCATCCCAATAGTCTTTCTCTTCTCCCCTCATTTGCTTTATCCCCCCCGATTCTTATTTTTTGGGGGCATGTTAGCACATTCTTCATCCTTGCCATAGACTGTCGGCAGTGTAAGGATGACCCAGAGGATTAAAGCCGTGAGGGCAGAGACTGGCTTTTTCCCTATGTCCCCAGGGCCTTGTAGTATTTGTGTACTGGCTCTGTGTGGTAGACAGCTTATCCATTCCTTATCACTAGCTATACCTGGTTATTTAAGGGTGATGATGATAAAGATAAACATTCTATTAGAATTGAAAAGCGTCACCCCTGCCTCAGTTTTCTGGAGGTGAGTGGTGCTGCCAGCCCTCTAAGAGCCCTTTTTCATGGTCTGCCCTTGATGCCACATTAATCCTCAATTCCCTGCTCTGGAGGCATGCTGCTTTCTTGGTGTCCCAGTTTGCTGACTCCGTGGGCACCATTTAGCCATTCCTCTTTTGTTGATCTGAATTCGGTGACTGCTCTTGGATTTGGAGTCCTGAAGAAGATGTTCAGTGCTGGGGGCCTCTCCGTGGTGACCCAACCCCCAAGATGTCACTGGGTATGGACACTTGGGGTCCCCCCTTAATAACCTGCTCGTGCCTCACTGGTAACCTCATGTCAGCTTCTTTTCGATCAGTCAGATCTTCCAGCTGAGAGAGCTGGGCATTCCTGTGTGGGTCTGAGGGCTAGCAGAAGGATGAAACGTACGATCGGATGCGGCAGAGATGCTGGTACTGCAGAGCCTGATGCGTAGCAGAGTTCCCATCTGGCTGGAAGATGAGCCTCGGAGAACTGGGAATGGTGTCGGCCAGACACCAGTGCCAAGCAGCACAGATTTAAAGATTGCGTGATGCTCCTAGACAGCTGAGCAGAGATTTTATCAGCAGCAGCAGATGCAGCCAGCCCATCGTCACCTTGGCAGTGTTTGCGGAACTAAACGGAGCGCCGACTGGACAGAGCATCGGGGCGGGCGTACCTTAGGACCTTCTCTTCGGTGCTTGGGTCCTGTTCTGTGAGGAATTGTGCGTCCAAGGTCTCTGGGAGCGAGGAACATTGCCCTCTGCTGGGACTCTAACTTAATTTTTTATTCAAGCAAGTTAGCCAAAAATGTTTGTATTGATGGCACTGTCTCTAACATGCCTGGTAGAAACTGAAATATTTTTATTAATGAGGCTGACGAGTGAGAGTTATTGGGGGGATTTCCAGTTCTGATCAACTCTGGCCTCTGCCTGCAGTAGGAATGTGGGGGGAGTCAAACTACTCTTTGTTTTGTTCAGACAGTTCACCCAAAAACTTTTCTCTGTGCTTATTTCCTACTCTGAGTGTTAATGAAGGCAGATCCCCTTCAAGAACATGTACTCTTGTTGCATGGCTTGTGAGTTTCAGGTAACCTCTCTCTGCATAGAATCTTATTTCAAATAAGATTGTTATAAAGCTTGTTATAAAGCCTTTACTTGTCCCTTTCCAAAATCAATTGTAATATAATTATGATTTTCTTTAATAATTGGCATTACACACTCAAATTTCTCTACATTGGTAAAACCTATATCTCATAATCCATAGGACCTCCAAAATTATTTTGGTGCAGTAAAATTTAATGGTGAGTAAATTGCTAAAAATCTTTATAATCTATAGGAATTAGCAAGAAGATTTGAATTTATTAGGGCAGTGCTTTTCAACAGTGACCCACAGTTGTAAATCCACCTTACAGAGCCATTCGGTTCAGTTCACATATTTGGATTTGTATGTAAATATATAGACACAGAGAAATAGAACAAAACTTCTTGAGTGTATTTACTGTGTGAAGTGCCCTCTGATATTTTCTGTTGTTTTCTTTCTTTCCTTCCTGTCTTTCACACTTCCTCCTTCCCTCCCTCTTTAATGCTGGTCTTGATCCATCAAATCAGTGTCATCATTTCTAAATGGGTCATATGACAACCCACAGTTCCAAACATGCTGCCTCAGGGGTAAAGATTTTCAACCATCTCCATTCCTCCCTTTCTTCATATTTCTGATGTGTGTAATGTGGTTTCTTTCCTTTCTTCCTTCCTTTTTAAAATTATCCTGTACTCTCTGCTGACAGCAGAACTAAAGAACTGAAAAGAGTCTAAAACCCCACCTTGAGCTCACCTGTGCCTCTTGGACTCCTCCCAGCCCAGCCTTTAGGGCAAACAGACCTCTAAGAATTCCTTCTGTGAGTGACTTACCCTGCTACACTGGAGGAAAGTTCTCCTTTTATTTAAGTTCTTAAGTTACTTACACCTTCCTTAACTCATGTTAGGTTCTTTAGTTCTCCTCTTTATTTAATAGTTAAGAGTAATCATTACAACTAGTTCAATAAAAAGCCCATTGTATTGTCACTGCTCTGGCTTGGGAAGAGCACTGTTAATAATAATCGTACTATAACAGTAAATATTTATTAAGCACTTTCTGTGATTCAGAGATGGGCTCAGTGCATCATGTTCATTATCTCATTAGGTGCTCATAGCTACCCTGGTACCTGAGACAGGGACCATTATATATTCCTGAGTTACACACAGGAAGCTGACATGTAAGGGGTCACGCAGAGGACCCAGCCACTCCTTTATACCTCCCTTATTTTTGTTGTTTAGTCTCTAAGTTGTGTGTGACCGTTTGTGATTCCATGGACTGTAGTCGTATTTAGATATGTGTGACTCTTTTGCAACCCCATGGAATGTACCCTACCAGGTTCTTCTGTCCATGAGGTTTTCCAGGCAAGAATACTGGAGTGGGTTGCCATTTCCTCCTCCAGGGGATCTTCTCGACCCAGGGATCGAATCAAACCCGTGTCTCCTGCACTGGCAGGTGGGTTCTTTACCACTGAGCCACCAGGGAGGCCTTATGCCTCCCTACACTCATGTTATTCATGAAGCTAGTGGCCTCTTTGAACATTTTTCTTAAGCATTTATTTGAGAGCGGTAGACACTTTACCCTGCTTAACAAATGTTCAGTGAGCACTCTGTGTCCCAGGCACTTTGCGGGACTCTGGAGATGGAGTAGGGAAGACCTGGTCCCACATGTAAGCATCATGCAGTGTGGTGAGGGCACAGATAAGTCTCAGGGAGGAGACCCCAGGAGGGAGAGGGGTGAGCAGCAGGCTCGCTCCAGCCCAGAAGCCCCCTGTCCTCTGCTCACGGGCAGTAGTAGGAGGGTCAGGGATCTCTGACCCTTTATCAGGTTTATTTTTGGCTACCTCTGTGGGATAATCAGGGCTTCCCTGGTGGCTCAGATGGTAAAGAATCTGCCTGCAATGCAGGAGACCCGGGTTCCATCCCAGGGTTGGTAAGATGCCCTGGAGAAAGGAATGGCTACCTACTCCGGTGTTCTTGACTGGAGAATTTCATGGACAGAGGAGCCTGGAGGGCTACAGTCCATGGGGTGGCAAAGAGTCAGACGTAACTGAGTGAATAACACACACATACACAGGATAATTAAAACACTTGAAAGAATCCTATTATTTTTCAGGTTCCTGAGAGACTAAGGTAGGTGTTCTTTTGCATGGTTGTTGTCAGCAGAGATGCAGGGGAAAAATCAATCTGTGTTTAATATGAGTCTGATGTTTCCATTATCTAAACAGGAGGGTCTGGGGAGTTCCATGACGGTCCAGTGGCAAGGAGCCCCAGCTTCCGTGCAGGGGACACGGGCCCTGAGTAGGGAGATCTGTCCATGGTCTCTTTCCAACTCAGGCCTTTGTGTTGCTCGCCTGCTTCTGTAGTGGCAATCCCCCCAGAGACTGCCTCTTTTCCCTGTGTTTTTCCTTTGTTTTCTTTCAAGGTTGCAAGAGTAAAGTGCCTCGGGTACTGTGTCATGCTGGCATTAGTGCTGTCTGAAGGCTTATAAATGACACTGAATCTGCCTGAATGAGATAAACTGGGGATAAACACTGTCTTCCTAGCCCTGGCCATCCAGAGAGGCCCAGTGGCTTGTTAGAAATGCAGAGCCTCGAATCAGAATCTGTATTTTCACTAGATCTCAGGCAATTTATATGGACGTTAGACTTCTAGAAGTGCTGCGATAGGTCAGGCTACACAGCCGTATTTTTCCCCAGCTTCCTAAGGAGGCGCTTTGTTCTCTGGCATTTCCCAGTTGCCCAAGGCTCGCACGTGTCTGTGGAAGAACCTCTTTGTGCTTCAACCCTGCCTGCTCCCCTGACACCCACCACTGCTCTCCAGTTAGCTCTTCTGCCTAAATAGGCCCTCAAAAATATATTCCAGTATACTTTGTGGTCAAATTCAATATTTGTCAAAAACAGGTTTATGACGGGAATGTAATGAACGACATAAACCATTTGATATGTTTTGACGTGTACATACCAGTGGCACCACACCACAATCAAGATGAGAAACATCCATCACCTGTTCTGTGAAAGTTGCCTTGTGTCCCTTTGCATCCTTTCCCCTGCCTTCTGTCACTAAAGATGAGTTTGCCTTGCCTAGAATTTCATACGAATGGCATCCTATAGGCCTCTCTTATCTATCTGGCTTCTCTTCCTCAGCTTATTTTGAGGTTGGTCAGCTCTGTTGCTGAGTGGTACTCTGCTGTAAACACAGTGTATCTGTATACTTGTTCACAAAAATTAGGGTTGTTTCCAGTTGGGAGCTGTTTATAAACAGGGCTGCCATGAACATCTGCATAAAAGTATTTAATCATATGCTTTCATTTTGCTTGGTAAATAAATAACTAGGAATGGAGTATACCTGGATCATATGGTCCAACATATAACTTCTTAAAAAAAATACCAACAGTTTTCCAAGGTGGTTATACCATCTTATATCTACCCTAGCAGCCTATGAGAGTTCCAGTTCCTTCATGTCATCTCTATCATTCAGTATCATCTTTATTATACCCATCCTTGTGAGGAGTGATATGCTATCTCAGTGTGAGTTTAATGTCATGCATGTTCTTAAGCATCTTTTATATAGGATCTTAGTTCCCTGATCAGGGATCCAACCCATGCCCTGTGCAGTGGAAGTGTGGAGTCTTAACCACTGTACCTCCATGGAAGTCCCACTGAGCATCTTTTTATGTGCTTATTTGCCATTTATATAGCTTCTCCAAAGTGATTGTTGAAACTTAATTGGGTTATGTGTCATTTGAGTTTGAGTGTTCTTTATGTAATCTGGATTCAGGTCCTTTATCAGATAAAAGATATGTCTGATTTCTTCCAGTCTAGGCTTGTTTTTCATTTTTTAAAGAAGTTTTAAATTTTGATGAAGTCCAGTTCATTAATTTTTTTTCTTATGTATTGTGCTTGTGTGTTATATCTGAGAAGTATTTGCCTAAAACAGTGTCATAAAGGATTGCTCTTAAGTTTTCTTCTAGAGGTGTTAGAATTTTAATTTGAAAGTGAAAAGTGAAAGTTGCTCAGTCATGTCCGACTCTTTGCGACCCCATCAACTATCCAGTCCATGCAATTCTCCAGACCAGAACACTGGAGTGGGTAGCCTTCCCCTTCTCCAGTGAGTCTTCCTAACCCAGGGATCAAACCCAGGTCTCCCACATTGCAGGTGGATTCTTTACCAAGTGAGCTACAAGGGAAGCCCAGAATTTCAAGTTAGTTTTTATTTTTACATCCATGATCCATTTTTTAGTTAATTTTTTATATGATACATATAGAATGAAAGTTTTTTCCTTTTTTTTTTTTTTGCACATGTATGCCCAATATTTCTAGCATCATTTGTTGAAAAGATTCTCCTTTCTCTACTGAATTGCCTTTGAACCTGTGTTGAAAATCATTTGTCCATATATATGTCAGTAAACCTCTTAAACCATCCAGGGCCTAGCAATAGGGAAAACCACTAATGAAAGCAGTGAGGACTCTGGGATACCAAATGGTCAGGGCAGTTGCCTTCTGGTATGAAGCTTGGACTCAAGCTTTGGTATCTTGAACAGGCCCTGGGAGTACATTTAGAGTAGACCTGCAAAGTATGTCAAATGGGCAAGTTGAGGAGATAATTCCTGAAATCATTAATTCTCTCACTGTCTTCTATTGAGCAAGGCTGGAGAGAGCATCGAAAGTACCTTTCTAGATGCATAGGAAAGGTGTTAATTCATTACACACAGTGGGTGCTTTAGGATCTGGGGCTTAAAACTCTCCAGCAGTTCTGATTGAGAAGGGCTGCTGGAACTAGGAGACTGAGACCTAGAAACCTGGGAGGCCTCATCACTTCACGGAATCCGCAGTTGGTTAGGCTTGGGGCAATTCTGGGCCTTTTCTGCCTGAAATATGACTCCAGGCATTGGTAGAGCTGGCAGCTGACCATGGCTGTCTAGATTCCAGTTCGTCCATGCTCAGCACCGTGCATCTTGGGAGCTGTCCAGAGTAGAGACGCCTGCTCTCCTAGAGTCTGCAAACTGGGCAATAGGCTGTGCTTTCTGTAGATGCTGTTGGCAGGACCTGCCTGTCTTAGAGCAGTCAGGGCAATGAGGTGACCTGTCCGTAGCCAGGCTGCCACAGGAGTGTTTCCTGTTCCTGGGGTCTCTCTCCCAACCCTCATGGGCTCTCGCCAGGCCTGTCAGCATCTGTGCTCAGTCTATGGACAGGAAGTTCAGGGATGGTGTCCTACAGGAATTGAAAGCCTCCAGGGTCCAGCCTGAGCCTCTCAGGGGTTAGGGGGAGCAAGCAAGTTTGGCCCTGGGATGCAGGTTTGTGTTGATGGTGTGTTCTGGACCCACAGAATGGTTCCCAGGCAAGGGAAGCACTTTCTCATAGGCTCCTGAGGTTGACCTGGGCCCCTCTGTGTGTGACATAGATCAGAACGCTCACCTGACATACCTTTTGTCTTCCAGGCGCTCCTAGCAGGCATGCGGAACCGGGAGAACAGCTCGCCCTGCCAGGGCAACGGGGAGCCGGCAGGCCGGGGCAAGAACTTGGGCTCCGTGTGGCCAGGTGAGGAGGATCCCAGCCACGACGTGAGCACACCCTCCTACAAGAAGCCTCTGTACGGCATCTCACACAAGATCATGGAGAAGAAGAACCCTCCCGCAGGGGACATGCTCAACACCTATGAGCTCTCGGAGAAGGTGAACCCCAGCAACAGCCCCTCACCACTGCGGCTCCTGAACGAGACACAGAAGCGGGACACTGGCGGCCCCGCAGCAGCCAGCGACAGTGACCCCAACATCTACTTTCTCATCCAGAAGATGTTCTACATGCTCAACACGCTCTCCTCCAACATGTCACAGCTGCACAGTAAGGTGGACCTGCTCTCCCTGGAGGTGAGCCGCATCAAGAAGCAGGTGAGCCCCACTGAGATGGTGGCCAAGTTCCAGCCGCCACCCGAGTACCAGCTCACGGCGGCCGAGCTCAAGCAAATCGTGGACCAGAGCCTGTCGGGTGGCGACCTGGCCTGCCGCCTGCTGGTGCAGCTTTTCCCAGAGCTCTTCAGCGACGTGGACTTCTCCCGGGGCTGTGGAGCCTGCGGCTTCGCAGCCAAGCGGAAGCTGGAGTCGCTGCACTTGCAGCTCATCCGGAACTACGTGGAGGTCTACTACCCGTCGGTGAAGGACACGGCCGTGTGGCAGGCCGAGTGCCTGCCCCAGCTCAACGACTTCTTCAGCCGCTTCTGGGCCCAACGGGAGATGGAGGACAGCCAGCCCAGCGGCCAGGTGTCTGGCTTCTTCGAGGCCGAGCCCCAGGTGGACGCTGGCCACTTCCTGGACAGCAAGGAGCAGGAGGAGGCCCTGTCCCTGGACCGCAGCAGCACCATCGCCTCTGACCATGTGGTGGACACGCAGGACCTCACCGAGTTCCTGGACGAGGCCTCATCCCCCGGCGAATTCGCGGTCTTCCTTCTGCACCGGCTGTTCCCCGAGCTCTTCGACCACCGGAAGCTGGGCGAGCAGTACAGCTGCTACGGGGATGGCAGCAAGCAGGAGCTGGACCCGCAGCGGCTGCAGATCATCCGCAACTACACAGAGATCTACTTCCCCGACATGCAGGAGGAGGAGGCCTGGCTGCAGCAGTGTGCCCAGCGCATCAACGATGAGCTGGAGGGCCTGGGGCTGGACGCGGGCAGCGAGGGTGAGCCCCCGCGAGACGACTGCTACGACTCGTCCAGCCTGCCCGATGACATCTCCGTGGTCAAGGTGGAAGACAGCTTCGAGGGCGAGCGGCCCGGCCGGCGGTCCAAGAAGATCTGGCTGGTGCCCATTGACTTCGACAAGCTGGAGATCCCGCAGCCTGACTTCGAAGTGCCGGGCGCCGACTGCCTGCTGAGCAAGGAGCAGCTGCGCAGCATCTACGAGAGCAGCTTGTCCATCGGCAACTTTGCTTCGCGCCTTCTGGTGCACCTGTTCCCGGAGCTCTTCACCCACGAGAACCTGCGCAAGCAGTACAACTGCAGCGGCTCCCTGGGCAAGAAGCAGCTGGACCCATCCCGTATCAAGCTCATCCGCCACTACGTGCAGCTGCTCTACCCACGGGCCAAGAATGACCGTGTCTGGACACTGGAGTTTGTGGGCAAACTGGACGAGCGCTGCCGGCGCCGGGACACGGAGCAGCGGCGCTCCTACCAGCAGCAGCGCAAGGTCCACGTGCCGGGCCCTGAGTGCAGGGACCTGGCCAGCTATGCAATCAACCCCGAGCGGTTCCGGGAGGAATTTGAGGGGCCCCCGCTGCCCCCCGAAAGGAGCAGCAAGGACTTCTGCAAGATCCCCCTGGATGAGCTGGTGGTGCCCTCGCCCGACTTCCCGGTGCCTTCGCCGTACCTGCTGTCCGACAAGGAAGTGCGCGAGATCGTGCAGCAGAGCCTCTCCGTGGGCAACTTCGCCGCACGGCTGCTCGTCCGGCTCTTCCCAGAACTCTTCACCGCCGAGAACCTGCGGCTGCAGTACAACCACTCCGGGGCCTGCAACAAGAAGCAGCTGGACCCCACACGCTTGCGGCTCATCCGCCACTACGTGGAGGCCGTGTACCCGGTGGAGAAGATGGAGGAGGTGTGGCACTACGAATGTATCCCGAGCATCGACGAACGCTGCCGCCGCCCCAACAGAAAGAAATGCGACATCCTGAAGAAAGCCAAGAAGGTGGAGAAGTGAGGGGTGCGTGGGGCACTGAGCGTCGCCCCCTGCCCCCCACCACCACGAGCCCAAGCCGCGTCCACAGCCGCGCACCTTATATCGGCGGGGCGGGGCCTGCTGCATTTGCACACGTGCTCGCCCAGCCGGCCACGGCCACGACAAAGAAGCCTCGCATTTGGTCTCTTGTACTTAGGACTTTTGTCCTGTGTTCCTGGTGATGCAGCCAGAGTCTGGGGAGAGCAGAGCTGCGAGGGCAGAGGGGCCTCAGGAGTCAGGGTTCCCTCTCCTTGGCAGCCTCCTCCCAGTCCCCTCACCATTTGAAATGCAGATCAAACAACCTTCTTGTTCCTCTTCCCACATTTTGCATCTTCCATTTTTATAAAAAAAAAATTTTTTTTTTAATTATAAAGAAACCCTTTTTAAGAAAATCATTGGGCTCTGTGGGGGCCACTTTACTCAAAAAAATTTTTTTTTAATATTTGAGATGAAGTACTGTAAGATGACTTAAGTCACTGGGAATTTTTTTTTAAGATGGTTTCAGATATATGAAATTTTTAGAAGTGCCGTGTTCATGCATGATGGCTGATAGCTTCAGGTGGCATAGAGACGGATTTTACTGACCTTGTCTTTTATTAGTACATCGGATTTTGGAAGAGTCAGGACGCCTCTTGGATGGCGGTAGAGGGGATGGAGTAGTTCGGTGTCCTTTCTGACCACGGTCAGTGAAACTCTCCCCCACACTGTGGTGCCGAGGAAGGGGCTATGGGGACGGCCTGGCCTGGCCTGTCTCACACTGCTGCGCCAGTAAGAATGTTGTGCTCACCCTGTAGACGAGAACACTGGATGGTGATGATGGTGATATGAATGTAGATAGATGTGGAAACACGTTCACAGTGTCTTCATTTGAGCTGTGTCCTTCCACTGCCCTCTTTCCTTCCTACGCAAGGATGCTGGTTAGAGGGACAAACACATTTCCTTGGAAAACTGTGTGTGGATATTTGGCTTCTTGTTTAAGGATGGGCCCCACTGGGCTCACCAAGAACTGTTTACTTTGTGTGTGTGTATTTGTATAAAACCCAGGTTCTGGGAGCTGTATGGTGGCTTCACCACACCTCAGTGTCGGCTCCTGCAGTCAGTACACACCCTTGTTCCTCAGGGCCGGGCCTGAACCGTGGGCTCTCTTGAGGATACCTGGTGTTGGAAGGACACAGGCCATCTGAAATAGGGCTCCCATATCCCTTTCCGGGGTCCACTCAGAGCTTTCCCTTTGGGCCCCCAGAAGGTCCTGCTCTTCTACATCTGGCCGGTCCCTCGGCCTCAGGATGAGACACCTCTTTTCTCTTCCCTGGTTGGGAAGGTCACACTGCTCCAGGCCAGTGGCATGCTCTCCAGGATTCCAACCAGGAAACTCCCCAACAGGTAAAGTCCTTAATGTAAAAACAATACTTTTACCTACCTGACTTTGGGGGCTAGTGCCTAAGAGGGAAAGGGAACAGTCTAAACACAATACATCATACCAGAAAGCTAGAAAATAAATTGATGAATCACACAGGGTAGTCATAAAACCCTTGTGGAATGTTAATTTAATAACCTAATGGCTTAATATTTTGCTACCTTAAAATGCAGAAATAATAGAAACAATCTGTGAATTCTCTTCATACAGATAAGGACTTCAGCTTTAGTGACTGTATGATGGAACTTTGCCTGCACTCGCAGCCATTTTTTTTTTTTTTAATGACAGGATTCTGAGCAGTGTGAAGTTGCCGATCTAACTTTAGTAAATTTGCTTTTAAATGCCATTTACAGATTATTTCCGTTGTAACTGCGGACCTAAATTATTACAGTTTGGAAACACACAGGGACTTAATGACTCTCTCTCACCCACCCACATACATGTGTACACACACATTTCTTAGTAAAAAACTGAAGTGAGATGAAGGGGACCGACATGAATAACAAGCTCAACCTCTTTGTGCCTGGAAAGGAGGAGGACTGGAGCAGCCGGAGACTCACTTCCCCCTCTCCTGGGCCTTTCTCTATGCCTTAGTCTCTCCAGCACACAAATGCATGCCTGCGTGCATGTGCGTGCATACACCCAAAGATGGCAGTGGCTCTCTCCCTCACCAGTCCTGCGGGTGGGAGGGTGCTGTGGAATTTGTTCTGGTCTCTAGGATGTATCCAAGAGGATTCCAAGCCATGTGAATATTGCCCTGCTTTCTAGAGGGTGGAATGTGACCCTGCAACTTCAGAAGCACAATCATTTAATAAATTTTTTTTTTTAATCATCCTGTCTACCCACAATAGATATGTCAGCAGGTTCTAGGAATTAAATATATCTCTTTATAACCTAGAGCATGTTCAGTTTTTGGAAACCATGTTTTGATGGTTTCTTTAATACTTCTCCTGCATGGGGCTTCTTCCCCCAAATCTCAGAGTCCCTTCCAGTGAAGAGAGGTGGACGCTCTCTGTGTGAGCTGTATCTTGTCTCTCTGGACTGACTCACCAGAAACCACCTGCAGGCCCTGTGTCTGTGTGGTGTCCTCAGCCTCCAGCCATACAGGTGGGCTCCAGGGGCTTTTTTTTTTTTTTTTACACGAAGCAATATAATTATAAAATATCTAAATTTTTTTCAAAATTTAATGTTTTCCATAAAATCTGTTGGCAAAACCCCTACTCCCTCCGCATCGAAATTCTTTGATTTTTGTTAATACTTGTTTGTGTTTGGGGAATTTTTTTCTCCCTCACATCCAGAAGTAGCACAGACACATTCTGATGTTGAGTAAAATAGCACGTCACAATAGGTGGTAGTGTCCCTCGTTTTTCTGTTAGTGAGTTTTAAAAGAATGTACGAAGATAGTCATGAATGTACTGAGTGTTCTAACCCTGCTTCCGTTCACTTTGGCTGTGTCTCCATGACAACACAGGTTTGACAGGGAATAAAGTTGTACTGGTGTCATGGGTGTTAGTGTGCCCCTCCCCCTCAGTGTTGGACCCCACCCTTCCTTGCTTTTTAAGTTTGGTGGGAGGGGGTACCACAGCAGCAGCAATCATCAACCAACCAATGGGATCTACTTAGTGGTAAGCGGATTAACTGTTTAAATGCTAAGAGTCACTGGCCTGACCACACCATAGTATGGCCACTTGGGTTCCTGCAGACATGGCTTCATTTTCTACCTTTGCCCCAAATGTTTACTTCTTGCCTGATCGAGGAGGAGGGTCTCAAGACCTCAGACTGAGGGCCATTGAGCTCTTAACCCTGCCTCACCATGGAGAGAGATGCTTTGAAGTGGTGGGACTTCCCTGGTGGTCCAGTGGTTACCACTCCGTGCTTCCGCTGGAGGCGGCACGGCTTCTATCCCTGGTCAGGGAACTAAGATCTCACATGCTATAGGGCAACAAAAGAAGTGGGGGCCCCTGGGCCAAGGGACTCTTAATGTCATTCAGAGATACGTGTCTCTTGTAGATCCAGCCTTAATGTTTTTCTGACATCCTAGTGATAGCAGACCCTGCGCAAAGTGGATATCAGAGTTAATACTGTGAGGAGACAAAATAATGAGAATAGTTTTACCAAAGATAATGAAACATTGCATAATGTCTGCATTTTACCATTGATTTGAGTGCACCCTTAGAAAACTGAATGTAACAAAAACCCAGGACATTTTTTGGAAATTGTATGCTCTCTAGCAACTGTGTGAATTTTTATACAAGCACTGTTTTATGAGTTACATAAAATGTTATAAAAATACGGTCTCCTAACATCTTCTTTTCTTAGGGCGGAGGTCTCTCGGAACGTATGGGTCTATTTGTCTGCGTGGGGCTTCACCACCCGCTCCCAGGGGAGGGCAGGGGCACTCGGGACACCACGGCTTCTCGGGCTTCCACACTCTGGGTGTCGGGGTGCAGTTTGTCACAGCTGGATGACTGAGACGTCACCAAATAAGCCCTAGCGCATTTCTCACACAAACCGCTTCCCCGCCATGCAGTAGAGGCACAGCTGAGCTTCCCTTCCCTGGTCGGCTGCCAGACCCGCCTGTTGCCAAACTGGAGGAGTTTCAGCTCCCTCTTTTCCACTTTGGATTAAATGGGATTTAGTTTCCCAAGGCAAACCTGTTATTAACTGATAACAAAAGGATGCATGTTCTCTTGCCTCATTGGCGAATTATAAATCATTAAATAATATTTCTTAGTAAAAATAATATCAAGCTACCAAGCCTTTTTTAGCCCTGGGGGTCACGTGGTGTAGGGTGCGTCGTGGCCTGTGACTGGAGCGCGCTTCCCACAGCGAGCGAGCGCTCGGGCCCGGAGCGCGCGCGCATGTGCGGGCAGCCGTGCGCAGGTCAGGGCTGGTGGGGACTGGAGCCTGATTTACTCCATAAGCAAGTTGAAACGAGACTTGAAGGCGAAATTCTTTAGATCCTTTCTGGCCGTATGTATCTTTGTTTTCGACCAAAAGGAAAAAAAGAAAAGTCCGTTGCCTCAGCTGCCTCTAAGGTGCTGGGTCCATCCGCGAGTAAACGGCGTGCGGCCGCCCCCGTCCGCCGCAAGGCCTCGGGCCACGGAGCTCACTGGCATCTGTTCGCCTCACGTCCCCTGCACGGGACGGTGAGGTGGGTGAGGTGACCGTCCCTGAGGGTAAGGTCAGTGCCCTCATCAGAGCGGCGTGTACACGGGGAGCCTTTCTGGCAGGCTTGTTTGCAGAGGCTCTGGCCAGTGTCAGCACTGGGTGCCTCATCTGCCGTGTGGGGGCTGCGGGCCTGCCCGCCAGGGGGTCTCGCCTCTCCACCCTTGCTGCCCCAGCTGAGGAGAAGGAAGTGAAAACAAAGAGGAATCTGAGGAGTGTGATGCTGACCCGGGCTTCGGTCGTTTTGACTGGACCTCTTTAGAGACAGGCTCAATAAAAAGCTGAGCTCTTTGCTGCTGCTGTCTTGCAAATAACGGTAGTACAGAATTTCAGTGGGCTTACTTGTAAAAGCCAGTTCTCCGAAATAAGAACTCCATACCAGATTATTCTGATTATT